CTTACATCTCCTTCACCTCCACCTTCTATTTTCACCATATGCCAAGTAGTGACAAATACTGAGAATGGCAAGATACAATGGGATCCTCTCCTTCGATTTCTGGGAGCCAAATATATAACTAAAATGAGTATGTATGTGTGAAATATCATACAGGTGGGGCTTTGTGATTACAACAGGCACATTTCATGCTGGTAGTAGGAATCTGATGCCTTCTTATAGGGGTAGCCAACCTGTGACACAGTTGCCAGAAGTGGCATGGCCATCCTGTGTGCGCACAGATAGCATGGTGCCAGAGAGGGCAGGAAGCAGAATGCAGAGGAGCAGACCAAGCAGGGGAAGGGGATCAAAGTGGCACAGGGAGGATGCAGGGCTAATTTGTGGCACATCTGTCAAAAAAGTTGACCCCCACAGCCTTATCGTATCTGGCTGTTCATATCCAGCACATCATCACTAATGTCATGTGATATAGTCTAATTTGATATAAATAATGCACCTTTGGTGAAAAAAATTCCTGTTCTTAGGACTAATAAAGTTATGACATGATTTTTTTGGTAAATGTCACTATTTTTTTTGAAGACAAAGGCAAGTCTGAATTCCTTGTAATGTGTTGTGTAAAAAGAGTGACTTTGCTTTTTAGGCTTTTTTTTTTAGCATTTTATAGGAGAGTGTGACCTTCCCCACCAAAAAACAGGTTTTCCATAGGCTGTTAGACACACAGTACCTAACACACATTCTTGAGTTCAGTTCGTTTCTAACTATTTTTAACATCTTACAAACATTGCAAGCTTGACTGATGTATCTAAAGCTTACACTGCCTTGTATATAATGAGAGACATCCTATTATGCCCAGGTAAACACTGTAAGAACAGGTTTAGCCACACTACTCACTTTTTGTCTCGTAAGGTCTGGGTTGATCCACATCACGTCATGAACACTTGCTGAACAAGGATATCAAAAATCCAGTATTGGTAACATAGCTTCACATGAATTCAATATATCCAGAGGGAAAGAGAGAACAAAACAACCCCCCCAAATACATAAAATGATAAACAGAAAAATCTGTAACATTTATAGCTTTGACTACAAGATATTTAGCCTGGCAGCTCTATGAAAAATCTAACTCAGTGTACTTGTGCACTCTCTCCCCAGTAGAGGAGGAGTCAGAGTTGCAACATTTATGTTCCTTGCTCCAGGCAAAACAGTGATTTTCTCCAGTATGCAAAATGTCCCAGCCGGATGGTTTTACAAGGTTAAAGAGATACTTCGTAGGAATGCAGCAATGAAAACATATTTTACACAATAAGCTTTATTGTAGGAGTTAACGATGCCTGCCCTAAAGTATATGAGAGTAGTATTTTTTAAGTAAATGTTTGTTGAACATCACGTGCTCCAAACTGTTGTTTGTACCAAAGTGTCAAGTGCTTTTTATTTCAGGATACCACAAAAAAAAACCTTTGACCCTGAGTTACCTCTTCTGTTACATTGTTTAGGCATAAGGAAAAATTAGTATCTTTCCTTCAGGTTTTTAGAAGCTTCATGAAGTGAAAAGAGCTTCAGCTTCTCAGCTACACCTTTGTATTTCACTAACATTTCTGTATTGTATTTTACTAATATTTTATGGTGAGAAATTGTTTGCAAACATTTTTTTGGGGTCAGTTTTGATTCATCCTTTCATTCAGTCACATTTGCATCCTCTCTACACTCACAAAACTGAAGTTTTCTGTATACTAAAGTATGTAGAACATAAAGGGAATAGGCTTGCAATGGACATGCCAATTAAAAAAACCCTTTATTTCATGATGAAATAGAACTTGTTTTGGGTGGATGTAGTGTACTAATTCATATTTGGTCCATTCCGTCAAGGATGAGAATTAATGCTAGTTATATAGTTTGAACAGCTGATTTCAAATACAAGATATAACATGAATCCAGTTTGTGAGCAATCTATGGGAAAGTAGAAACATATTAAACAACAAAAAGTCTAAACTGAACATCAAAATGGCTAAATTTTCCAAATATTCACAATATACAATTCAGCCAGGTCTACTGCCATTTCTTTCCAAGTAGCTCCATATCTAGAAGACTGAAGCTAAATAATTGTTATGATAGACTGAAGATCTATGTTTGAAAATATACTTTCTTCCCAGAACATAACAGGTACATAACCAGTCCGCAAAGATGGACATGTGACAAGCTGTAGCAAGTTACGTTAGAGAAACAATTCTGAGAAATGCAGAGGCTCAGCCCTAGAAAATCAACCAAGATAAAAAACGAAAGAATGCCTTGGAGGAAGGTAGCAAGAATCAGGAAGATGTTCCTTGGGAAAGGGCTGCCTTCTGCATTATACATATTACTATTCTATTATGTTTCTGTAGGTACATTTGCAGGTGAAGTGCATTTTTATGGTACAATAATTACAAACTCAGAATCTGTGCTTGCCTTCTTTCCTGACCAAGTCATCCTTACTTAGTCTGGATGAAGTCAATAAGATTCCCTAGGCAAGAAAATATTATTGAAGTTAAAACAGGATGAAGGACAATGGGAAAACAACTACTATTACTGACGATACATTCCAAAACTAGTTTAAACCAACAAACCCATGGTATCTACTTTATAGTTAACTCCGGTGCTGCTAGCTGGTTAGCTAAGGCAAGTGCTCATGAGTTAATTGTTCATTCTTTCAGGTGAGTTTTGCAGTCCACACTGAGTTCTGTGCTATTATGCCTATTCTGCCAGCACTGCCCAAGCTAGCTAGTTAAAACTAGTCTGAGTATGTCTTTACAAGCTGCATTGACTGCAATCTAGACTATATTTAGTATATTTCAAGTCACAGAGAAACTATAATAAAAATGAAATTAGTGAAATATTTTGTATAAATACACAACAAAGATGTTGTCAGTACAGAAGACTGGGATACTGAAATATCATACAAGAAGAATTGGATGATTTGGAAGATTAATAAAAACAATGGGATGATAGTCAATGGTACAAAGTACAGAGCCATGCACTTAAGGCCCAGCCACCATTTTTGAAGTAAGCTCTGAGTTCATCAACTGGAAGTGCTTATAGCAGAGAAGTATTTGGGTGTACTTACTGATTACAGGATGTTCCTGAGCCATCAGTGTTATGCAGCTCTGAAAAGGTAAATGCAAATCTTAAAACGCTTACAAGGTGTATGCACTGGAAAGAAGACAATATTGGTGCCACTGCATAGGGCACTGGCAAAACCTCATGTAGACTACTGTATAAAGTTATCTAGACTACTGTGTAAAGTTCAAGTCATTCATGTTCAAGAAAATTAGT